GTTTATACAGTGACAGGCTATTTGACCATGTTTTGGACGGGGGAGGAAACATCCCAGATGAGCATTTTTGTCATCACCCAGCGTCCGTATATGTTTCTGCTAGCATCCCCTTAAATGAAGAGCTCTTGCTAGAGGGTGGGGGAATTCTCTCCCAATCCGAGAGAGTGCTGAGACCAAGTGCAGGAATGCAGTTACTCTCCAAAATGAGATCAGCTAATTCAGCAGAGACTACAATTTGAGTTTATAGCTGCTCGTCTGGTTACGTCTCACACTCAAGCATACACACACACAGTTAATTTCTAATTATTGCCATGCTGTAAAGTACTTTAAAGTATTTACTTTATGTGAATGGCACTACTTCAGTGTAGGTTGTTATATGACTTGGAGCTGAGCGGTTTCTTTATTCACTAACTCATCAAGGAAGCTTCTGGCACCTTTGAATTGAGACATGAAGACTGTCTGCAATTTTAAGAATTTACTCTGCTGTTACTGGTAACTCATGTAATTTGGTTAATTAGCAATGTAACAGAAGTCACACAAGAGGTTACGAACGATCTGTGCTGCAAACAGGGTCAGAAATGAACAGGAGTAAAGAGCTGAAGTAATTCTATTTATAGAAAGGAATGCAATTGGTGTAGATAGCAAATGGTATTGAGATTTTCACTTTATATCCAATTAACATTAACAAGCTTCAGCCTGGCTCATTGGGAGTACTCTTACCTGTAAGTCAAAATATTGTGGGTTCAAACCCCATATCATTGCACCTTACAGTACATTCTACACAGCGTTTTGAGACAATCCTCTCAATGTGGAAGGTGCTGATCAAATGTGAGCATTATTTTATTTAAATAATCTCCAATTAGATATTCAATTAAATTGTCACTGATAACTCATACTTTATAGGATTGGGAAGGTTAATTTATTAAAATAATAACAATCCTTGCATTTGCTATATAGCACCTTTCACGACAGGAGGATATTTCAAAGTGCTTCACAGAATAAAATGCAAAGTGTAGTGACTGTTTATTTTGTCGTCAACCGTGTATTTTGTATTGCACCCTCTCACATCATTTGGATATTTAACAAAACATACTTATTGTAAGGCTTTATAAATTGTTGTGTTGGAAACTCCCTGATGCAAGCCAGTTCCCACAAACCAGTCTTGGTAACTAGTGTGGATTTGTCCCCATGTACTCCTGAATAACTGTAAACTAGCTTTAATCATGTTATTATGTTTATAACAATGTTATTGTATGTTTATAACAATGTTTATTTAGAAGGTAAAATAAAAATAAAAAAATGTTTTCATTTACGCAAAAGTTGCTGAACAAAGTCAAATGCTGCATAGCCCATAGCAACAAACTAAGGGATACTCAGAAGTAGCGGAGCACTGCAGAGCTAAAGGAAAGCAAGTGAGAGGAAATGGGACTAGTTGTTTGACGGGGTGCAATGAGGATTAATTTGTCATTCGTACTGATAGAATTATTCATCATTCTTTCTTTGAACAATGGCCACATACTTGTCAGGAATCCTGACAATAAGTATTTGGCCTCTTGAATTTGTAATGCACTGTTTACTGGTAAACTGGAAGCTCATTGCATTACGGAGCAGGGAAAAAGGTGAAATTTGTCTAGTAAATAAGGACACTGGACAAGTTAAAGTGTATTTTCTAAAGGCTTTTATTCCATTAAGGCAAACTATTACTAAATTAAAACCATGCCCAATGGGAGAATGGAAATGTGCAGAGCCAAGCAGCAGATACTCACTTAAAATTCCCCATCACTTTCTGATAAATTACATGAATCAATATGATAGCGGCAAATCAGTACTCGCCCTAATTAAAGTATCCGGCTTGTAGAACAGATCAGTCACTGTACTATGCATTACTGTCTAAACCAATAAAACCGTAAAAGATTGTTCAATGGTGCGCTCTTTACAGACCGAGGTTGTGACGTCCTGTAAAAGGTCATAACCCGCTCTCCCAACATGACCGCTGGCTGATGGAATTAGCATTGAACTTAAAAAGCACATGCTGGTCAAAACCCAAACTCTTTTACTTTGTGTTCCAAAATAAAGGAAATGTAATAATAATAAAAACAATCAGTGTCTCCAGAAAAACCTAGTCTGAAGTTAAAACACTATTAAATCACACGGAAAAATCCCTGTAATTAGATCTTTGGCTGTCCAAGCACCCATTCAAATTTGAATCCAGGGCTATTAACCAGAAGGGAGAATGCTTATTACATTTGCAAAAATTAGATAACGACATAACAAAATATTAAAATGATAGAAGAGTACTATCCCAAATGAAACATCAACACAAGCAAGATATAAATCATGTGGGCAAAATAATAACTTTAGCTTCAATTTAATTTACTTCTTTCCCCGTCCAACAGAACGACTGACTTTATATCAAGTTGAGCCCTTTTTGGCGAAGGTGGGGGGGTGGGAGGTAAAGGTTACCACAGTGAACAGTAACAGAATCTGATTCCCTGAGATTAGACTCTGAGGTCCAGACTGTGAGGTAAAGATATAAAATAGACATTGCTCATCACAGTAAAAAGCCTTTTCTTCCTTTCCTCCATCCCCTCCCTCCTCATCACAAAGCCTTCCCTGACTGCCAGCTTTCTGAGCTAAGCACATTTTGCCTCCTCTCAGCACTGCAGATTTGTGTGGCTGGCACAGCGCCCTCATCTTTTACAGCATCCATTGACATCCAGAGTAGTCCCTCACTCTGCAGTGTCCTCATTCCCACAGGTGTGCCATCTCTCACTCCTTAAAGAGTGAAGATTTCCATCACAAGAACTCGTGTGCAATCAGGGAAAAGAGCTGGAAAGTGGGATTACTCTCACCCAATTTAATAAAAAAAATTACATTTGTAAAGTGCCTTTCACATCGGGACGACGTCCCAAGGCACTGAACAGTCAGGGTCATTAGGAACCGAGCAGGATTGCAGGGCTGGGAACAGGGAGGGCGGAAGGTCGGAGGGTGGCCGAAGGCACAATTGAAAAGGAGGGTCTTGAGGCTTGCCTTGAAGGAGACAAGGGAGGGAGCAAGGCGAAGGGAATGTGGCATGGAGTTAAAGAGGGTAAGGGCAGAGAGGCTGAAGGCCCGACTGATGATGGTGGAATGGGCTGGGCTGGGGACATGGAGCAGGCTGGAGACTGCTGAACGGAGCGAGCAGACAGGTTGATAAGGGGTTAGTAGGTCGGAGAGGTAGGAGGGGGCAAGGCTGTGGAGGGCCTTAAAAGTGAGGACCAGAATTTTGAACTCGATCCTCTGAGGGATGGGGAGCCAGAGGAGCCGGGCGAGGGTGGGTATGATGGTGTCATGGAGCCTGGTGCGGGAAAGGACATGAGCTGCAGAGTTCTGGAGCTTGTGGAGGGAAGGGCTGGGAAGGCCGACAAGCAGGGAGTCGGCATAGTCGAACCAATGGCCAAGTGGGCAAAAGCACCATCGCTGTACATGTACCGTGGTCCCGTCTGCCTGCTCGGCTGAACATTAACGATCCCACGACACTACTCGACAAGACAATAGACTCTCCCCTGGAATCCTTGCCGAAAATTCTCTAGGTAAAATTCGTCATTCATTTCATGGATGTTTGTGGGCCAGCAAACTGGCTGCTGTGTTCACCTACAAAATAAACGGTCATTACGCTTCACAGTAAATCCCTGTGAAGGGAGATGTCTCAATGATATATTTAGGCACAATATCAAATCCAATTATCACAGGCTTGAAGTGTGTGCTTCCTTAACTGATCTCGCAGAGGAGGTGTACATCTATGGACAAATGAAGGCAGGATCCAGCTCAACTGTGATATTGTATGCTTCTCCCAGTCCAACTATCCATGCGTACCAATACTCACAGTCAAGGCTTACACATGTACACATGCTTAGAGACAACTGTGTGGGGTAGAGGAGGACAAATGGTACCCATGCACTCATACACTAGCAGAAGAAAAAAAGACTGAAATGTCTTTAGGAGAGGAGGAAGGGAGCAGAAGCATTGGCAGAAATAAAAAGTCTGAGTTGCAAATATCTTTGTGGAAAGCATTTGCTCCAACATAATGTGCTTGGACTCATAATTTCAGATAAATAACTTCCACTCTGTCAGTACGACATTCCCCATTTCCCGCACCATTTATTCCTGTGACCTTTCTGGTTGATACTGCCAATGTAAGAGTCTGTTCACATCATATTATGGGCATTTTTATTTTGTGAACTTGTGCTGGATAAAAATGGGTTCAGCTAATCAAATCATTTCACTGATTTTTTTTTGGTCAGCCGGGTATCTAACACATGTGGAAACCCATCACCAGGCTTAAGAGTATCCAAGGCAAGTTGAGATTTCCATGCATCTCAACTACACATGGAAATCCCAGAGACAGATTATTGGAATGGAATGCACTCTCTCTCCCTGGAGGGACACATCCTGCTTTACCTAATTCTGTAAAGTATTAGTCGCAAGTTGCCAAGTGCCGAGCCTTGGGGACCCCAGAGTCTGTGTACTGCTGGAGTCTAATCAGCTAAAATCGCATAGCTTGTCATTGATATTGCTGTCTGGCAAGCTTTCCCGCTGCTTGTCCGGCTAGGACCACCCTACCCGTTAGGGCTTTGGCTTAACATGAGCTGAGCGGGATGACTCCCTGCCCCCAGTGACTGGTTTGCTCTTCCAGGTCCTGCTGATCAGCCAGGATGGCTGTGCTGTCATCAGCAGTGCCTGGAAAACTGCGGACCCATCTGGCTCAGGAAACGGACTTCGAGACCGCCATGGAGGGCTGGCTCTATTCCGACATTCCGTTGCCAGGCATGTCACCTTGGAGCCAGTTCAGCTTCAAGGAGACCCCGCTTAATCATTTCAGTGAGAAGCCCCTTATTTGACAAATAGAGATAACTCATCAGTCAGGGCTGAATTTAAGTCCAAGCCCTGGAAGCAAGAGTGCAATGATGTAACTGGATAACCGAGGTGCGGCTCTGTGCAAATCCGAGTTAAAGGCTTACCTCTCGGGGTTTCTCCACTCTCCTGGCCACCATCACTTGGATCATTCCACGGATGTTGCCCTCCATTGACATGGACCGTCGCAGTGCTTCCAAAGCCTCGTGGTTAGACTTCTCCATTAATAACTCACCATTGACCTCTATTAGCTGATCGTTGGTGCGTAGGCGCCCGTCCTGTGTGATACAGGTTGAAATTACAAAGAACCTCAGTGGCAACAACTTTATCTTAAATTTCTTAACTGCATTTCTGATTACAGAAGAAGCCCATTATCACGTGCTTAGTCATAATGTGGGTTGTTTTCTAGCACAATTGAGGTGACACTTACTTGCCCTTTCTGTGGAAATGCACATCGAAATGCAAAACCATTGACTTGTGATCGTGCCCTGTTACAGCATTGCTTGGGAATTTATGAACTTAAAATACTGGGTTATTACGACATTCCATTGCACTCAGCATCATGTGCTTTCACAACTCACCCTCCTAAAAACGTTTCTCTTTGAGCTTGCTATCGGTCAATGCCCTTGAATCACCACCTCCTGCCCTCCCTGCTTAATGATCACCATTAGCATTGTGAGTGCTTTGAGATGGTCAAAGACACTATGTAAACACAAGTTGTTGTTGCTGGGATTTCTACCCAACGAGTTTCAGAATTTCACCCATTAAAAATAACTTTAGACCTCCCACCATGGAGGGAGGAAAATGTTTTATTGGTCGGGAAACATTTTGTTCATAGAAGACAGCAGATACCTCCCAACTCCTCTCTCTATTATGTGGATCAGTGTTATTCCACACAGTAAATAAATGTTGTTTGTCCTTCAAATAACTATCTTCTTTTTAAATTACACTCTCTGTAAGGTTTGAAAACACAGAAAAATAATGAATATTACAGATGTGGCCCCTTCATGTGGTTTCTCTATCAGTTGAGGGAGCTATAAACAATGTGCAAGTGTCAGTGTTAAATAGTGTTGGATATCCATATATGGTTTCCCCATCACAGACAGAGACAGAAACGGTGACATCAGAAGTCACAAATACTGCAGATTAATGTATTTAAGTGAAAAAAAATGCTCTTGGGGATAAGGCTGAGGGAATCAGGAAACAAGAAGAAAAACAGACATTCTGCTCCAAATAAGCATCATTAAACTAACATGGCAATTTCATTTCTGAATTATTGGAAAATTTCAGGTATTTTGTACATTTATAATGTTACATGGAGAGGCAGCTGGTTGTATTTAGCCCTCTGCCATCACCAGGTTGCCTTTTCATTCTCACAAAAAAATGTTTACTGAATTCAAGGAGAATGAAAGGTCAACTTTCCTTTGAATAGAATAATGGGATACAGACCGGCAGTGGAGCCACATAAAGGGTCTCACAGCCCACTTTAAATGGATGCCAGAAATCTGTTCACAGAAGGGAATCAATTGGATTAGACCAGACCCTGGCCAAAATCTACCCTTCATTGAACTGTTGAAATTGACTGAATGATGCATGCCACCAATGCCAGATCCACTACGAGTGTGAGAAATCAGATCTAAAGATTAATTTGGAGTTGAAACATTTGCCTCCTGTACCAATAACAACCACAACAATTATTGCTTTTATAAGGCACTGATCACAAAGGATAAAATCTCGAGCTCTGCACAGTGGCGGGGTTGCACATGGTGCATGGGAGAAACGGGAGGGGAAGAATATCAAAGGCACGGTCGTAGAGGTAGGCCATAACATCTATCTTGTCCATCCCTATAGCTCAGTGGTTAGAGCACTCGCCTCGCAAGCGAGATACCTGGGTTCGATTCCTGGCAGGGTGAAATGTTGGGTAAGTTTCCTTACTCCACACGCCTCTGTTTACCTAGCAGTAAGTAGGAACTGGTTGTTAGTCAATTGGCGGTTCGCTTTTCCGAGGGTAATAATACCTTAAAAAAATAATAAATTGGTCACTTCAGTCCACAGCTGTTTGTGGGACACTGCTGTGCACAATTGGCTACCGTGTTTCACCCACAAAATACACAGTCAATTTGCTTTACAGTATATCCTGTGAAGTGCTTTGAGACGTCTCGAAGACTTGATAAGGTGCTACATCAAATGCAAGGATTATTATCATTATTATCCCACAAAAATTCTGCTTCCTTTCAGGTTGAAAGCAAAGTACATGAAATGTTGCAAATCATAGTGAGTAGGAAGGGAGGTGGCATGGAGTTTTGCACAGTTGTGGAGTTGGACACTGAGGAAGCTGGAGCGGAAGATGACCATAGACGCATTGGAAATCTGAAATCTGGATCTGAATCTAGCCCACGGTGATTAAACATAAAACCTGAGGGAGTCAAACTATCCCTCTCTTATGGATCTGAGACTCACAGGTTTCAGACCATATGTCACAAAAGTGCAAAGGACTCAATGGTAACTGGCATCAGATTGGCATAAGTTCATGTAGCAAACACCGAATTTAGAATGATATATACATTTGATATAGTCTGGAAGATGCCTCAAAGATTTAGTATAAAGTGTAGTTGACTGTGTTTTGTAGATTAACATGCCAGTGTCTTGTGCACAGAAATGGCCACAAACAGACAGGAAGAGGATGAGCAATTTTACCTGGGGGATTTCTGGCCAGGACACTGGGAGAAACTTCATTTTTCCAATAATGTCATGGGATCTTTAACATCCACCTGAACAGGCACACGGCACCTGCTTAACTCATCTGAAGGATGGTACCTCCAACAATGTAGCACTCCGCCAGCACTGTATTGCAGATTGTGAGTCCAGACTAAGTCGAAAATTCTGGCGCAATTCTGGTTTGAACCCAGTCCTCCAACAAAGAGGTGAGAGTGGTACCAAATGAGTCAGGATGAGACCTTTAATAAAGTGGGTCTAAATTGCAGTATTTCTAATAAAATTACAAGGATTGCCTATTTTAGGAACTGCTCTAGATTACCAGATCACTTGGAACAAGTTCCTACGTGTTAGCATGACATGAATCGGGTTACAGTCAGGAGTCCTCATGAATTTGCACAAAATGGATTTTGAGATATGAGCCAAATGAGAAATTAATTTGCACAGTCACTGAGTGCATTAACTGATTCTTAAGTTCATTTGAAGTGGGGAAGGGAGAACAGGAAAGGAAATCAGCACTTCTCATTGAAATAGCTATGTTTTAGTGAAAAGGAAAGCAAAGGCTGGCAAAGGGAATGTTTGAAACCTACCATTAAAGAGAACGTACAACACAATCATTCTAAAGCACAGCGAGCAGATTGAAACTCACAAAGCTTAAAAAATGCAAGTGTTGTTCAATAACCCCAAGTCTCTTCCACATTCATTGGGTTCGCAACAACACTCTGCCATTTCTTTCTGAACCTGCACTTTTTGAAATAACATGCTGCAAGCTAAACCAAGCTAAACCGCAACGTGGAAGTTCCCAATCATCTGGTACACTATCATCCATCAACATCTGAAGGTCCACGCCACAAATCTGACATTCTTCATTCTCTTAAGAAGGGGGAGGGGGGAAGAGAAGAGAACTGTCTCGCAACCAACACTACTGACAGTTCTGTTTCAGTGCTCCAATTCATCATCTGTAAAAGTCAACATATCTCCCGCACAGCCTTTAACCAGCATAAAAGCAAGAGATGCCTGAACATTAGGGGCTGGACATCACGAAAAAAAAACATCAATACTGCATCAATAAAGACCCATTGCTGGTAACCTTTGGAGTACTTAGGTTTCTTCTGTGCTTTTCACAGAACAAATGGATTTTCTGTCATGAAACAACTGCCAAATGTTGAGATTTTTGTTAAAAAAAAGAATAACCAGCATTTATATCGCGCCCTTCACATGGGATAAAAAGTCTGAAGAGTGCTTCACAGGAATGGCGTCGGACGCTGAGGAAGGAAGGAGGGTGAGGTGACCATAGCTGCAATCTAAAGGTGGCATTTAATGACCGATGAGAGGGGAGCGAGAGAGAAAGGCAGATGGAGGAAGTTTTAGAGGGTGGAGACATAATTCCTGAAGATTCGGCTACCAATGGTGGGAAAGACAATGCATAACAGACCAGATTATGTTGAGCAGTGGGGCTGAGATGAAGGTGGGGTAGGAGAAGATTCATAAAGATAGGGAGGCACTAGGGCATTAAGGGACTTATGGGTGAGAGTGAGGATTTTGAAATCAGAAGTATTCAGCAAGGAGGCAGAAAAAAATAACTGCTGTATGACTAAGCCACACAATACCAGAAAGTTTGAATTTTGTTCTGTAATTACTTTGTTGATCTAAGCTAGACAGCCTGCTTGGTTTGCCAGCCAGCCTGAGCCAGTCTGACACCCACTTGCAGATGTGTTGTAGATTAACACCTGCATGTGCTTTTCTTACAAGTTACTATTAATAAACGATCAGTGTGACACATCTGTGCAAACAGTGGAGCAGAGGTTTGGACTGAGAACAAACACTCAGCAAAGGTAGGACACAATGTCAAGGTAACGCGAGTCTGCTCCCAGAGGTTAGTGCATTTAAGCGTTCCTAGACGCTACCCTGATGAAGAGCGCCATATAAATGCAAATGTTTGTTGTTGCAATATCCATACAATTAGGGGGTTACAATGTACCTTGAACGCTGCCCCACCGTGAAGGATAGCTTTAATGAATATGCCAAGGTCAGCCCCAGTCTCTTTGGATTTGTTTCCTTTGAGACTGATTCCTAGTCCAGCGGAGCCTGAATCATTGAGTGGGATCTCGAAGGTCAGATTCTCCTTTCTGTCATCCAGTGGTAGATTACAGTTGTGTTCCCCCTTCTGAAAGAAAAACATGTCACATCACCCTGGGATTTACACCAGTCCCAAAATTGGTTGCATTATAAAGTCATTCAGAATGTTGATTTTAGGGAATTGAATTACACCATGAAGCACTGGGCTCTGCTGTGCTTATTACTCTTACGTTTAAACTTCATTTCAAAAGAGCTTACCACTGCAGATAAATTTAGATTAAAAACAGCTTTTAAAATGTTACATTTTCATAACAAGCAGCAGATTTTGACAAACTGGTTAATGACCAGGTAAGAAACAATGGCTATCGCAGAAATAACAGACACCCGAGAGTGATTGGAAAAGAATTCCTGGATAGAAGGGGAGTGATTATAAAGCAGTAATCTATCAAGGAAGCAGGTAATATAATCCACAACCGCGAAGCTTGACAGCATGCTTTTTCCACTTTGCAGTTTCTAAGAGGAAAAAGTAATGGAAAATGAACCTGGGAAAAACTGCTTCAGCCCCTAAAGGGTTAATGATGTTCTCAGCACAGAAGGGTGCAGTAATGAAGAGTGCAACCTTCCTGTTGCTTCACCTATACTTGAAAAATCTGGCACAGCAGGCCTTAACCAAGCAGAGGACGCATTTGCTGAGAGTTATTGATGGTTTCTGTGGTTTGACGTGCGACAGCCACCAGGCATCGGGGACAAATTGTAGAGTCCCACTGCTTTTCCAGTTGGCAGAGCGCCAAGACTAATTTACAGATACTAATTACAGAGAAAGAATGCTACATTCAGGTTAATGCAAAGTTGTTTTTATACATTCAATCAGGGGTTAAGACAAAGAAGTGAAGTTCTACTTCAGCATTCAAACCACTCTACATTGCCTGTAGGCAACCTCCTGGTACCTCATATGCACCGGTTGTGGGCTCAAACCCGCTCTTGTTGGATGTCAAATGACGAACTAGTTACTATCCTCTTTGGGGAGAGATAAGCGAGGTCACCTTGAAGCTGAACTGGCTCCAAAGTGATATGTTTGGCCACAGAATATCAGAATCAAAATTTCATATCTCCAATAACCAACACTCTGCAATATCTAACGTAAACTCACTCTTGTTTTTCCCATCTCCCATCCACCAAACTGTTCCTTCACATCTGGTCAGTTCTATTTCTCACAAACACTGTGCACTCATGTTCACTTCCAAGTCAAAAAAGGACTCAGAAAGCTCAAGGATAACTTAGACTTACTTAAGAAACAGACTGCTGCTATAATGGGAAGATAGTATATTGTTCTGGAAGGATGAGACTAAATGAGTATTCGTACCTCTATTGTGATCTGGTGAACATAAGAAAACATGGAATGCAAAGAGGTCATTTAGCCAATCAAGCCTTCTCCTTCTATAGACATACACCTCTCCGAATGAACATTATATAGTAGTAAGCAGTTCCATGATTTCAGGGAGGGCAAGCAAAAAAGTATACAAATAAGAATGAAACCATGAAGTCACTGGGTCCTGCTCACTCAATATACATGAAAGCAACAACAACAACAACAAGATTCCATTTATAGAGTGCCTTTCACGTCGGGAGGACGTCCAAAGGCGCTGTACAGTTGGGTCAGGACCCGAGCAAGGGGGAAATGGTCAGGGGGGGGGAAGGGAGGGAGTGAGGAGGGGGTAGAGAGTCGAGAGGGGAGCTGAAGGTACGGTCAAAGAGAAAGGTCTTGAGACCGGCTTTGAAGGAGGAAAGGGAGGAAGCGGCGAAGGCACTGGGGGATAGAGTTCCAGAGCCTAGGGGCTGAGAGGCTGAAGGCCGGCCACCGATGGTAGGACGGTTGGGGCGGGGGATGTGGAGCAGACCGGAGCCAGAGGAACGGAGGGTACGGGCAGGTAGGTAGGGGGATAGTAGGTCGGAGAGGTAGGAGGGAGCAAGGCCGTGAATGGCCTTGTAGGGAGGATGAGGATCTTGAAATCGATCCTCTGGGGGATGGGGAGCCAATGGAGGCGAGCGAGGGTGGGAGTGATGTGGTCCCGAAGCCTGGTGCGGGACAGTACACAAGCTGCAGAGTTGAATGACCTGCAGCTTGTGGAGGGAGGTGCCGGGAAGGCCGGCGAGGAGAGAGTTCCCATAGTCCAGCCTTGATGTGATAAAGGCGTGGACCAGAGTTTCAGCAGCGTGAGGGGTGAGGTAGTGCCGTAGTCTGGCGACATTCCGGAGGTGATGGAAGGCGGTGCCAGTTGTGGCGCGGATATGAGGGAGAAAGGACACCTCAGGGTCGAAGAGAACACCAAGGTTCCTGACTGGCTTTGAGAGATGGAGAGTGCAGCCTTAGATGCTGATGCTGTCAGCGCCTGAGGTGCGGAGGCGTTGATGTGAGCCAATCAGGAGGGCCTCAGTTTTACGCACGTTGAGCTGAAGAAAGTTGTCTCACGTCTAGGACTCGATGTCGGACAGGCAGGCTGTCAGGACATCGGTGGTCGTGGAGTTGAGGGTAGAGGAGGAAAGGTAGAGTTGGGTGTCATCCAAATCCAGAACAGCTCCAAATTCTGCTAAGAGGGATGCTCTTTACAAAGTAAAATGCCCATAATGCTGATTATAAAATTACCCTCCCACCCCACGACATTCTTGTCCATTTTCCATGCTCAGGTTTGTGTCGGACAATTTGCGGAAGACTTGTGTGTGCTTGTGTGTACGTGCATACTTGTGTATGGTGAACAAGTGTGTGCATTCAAGAGAGAGAAGGGAGAGATTATAAATAAGCCACATGCATTTCACACAAATTTCAAAGTTAGAGTGAAATTTGTGCACAGATATATTGTTGATGTTTCAATCTGTGAACTGGGCAGGTCTTTGGACAAATAAAATGGTACATTTTATCTTAAATGAGTTTGATTTCCACATTTGATCTTGAAAGAGGAAACATTTCAATGGGAAGGAGGTTGAACGTACTGCACAGCTGGCTTGAAAACAATCTCTTTTAACTGTGATGAGATTGTTCCCAGCCACATGGCAGCCCTGGAGGAGATCTGTCATGTCAGATCTTCTCGGTGGAAGAAGGCCACTCCTCTGATGTGTGTGGCAGGCAGCTCTTGCTGTGTTAAGCGAGGATCAACAGCCTCACTGAGTTTGAGAAGCCAATCCAAAATCTCAGAGAACAATTCTGTGTTTGCTCCCTCGGCGCTGCAGACAAGGTTGGGAACTGACTCTGTGAGTAATTCCCAACCCACATGCAGTGTCCAACTATTCCACAACATAATCCAGGGTACAACATGCTCTACATGGCACTGACACAAACAGCATGAGAAAATACAACCATATGGTGTCATCCTCGGTTAAAGTACAATAGGGTAATTTTGTTTACTCATGTGCCTGAATTTTTTTAAACATTAAAAAAAAGCAGTGTCCGGTTTGGCAGAGGTGGTGCTAGACTGCAGAAGAGCAACTAGATTTTCACCCAACATCCTTTCCTTATTCCGAAATTGTCTCACAAATTTCCCGGAAATACTCACAAATAGAATCAATGCTGAGACAGCAGGAATCTTTTTTTTGTGTGGACTTGGCAAGAAAGCAAAGTAGAAACATTCCCAGAATGCTGAAGACTTTCGTTCAGAGTTTTTGATATTGTTGTTTAGTTGCTTCTAACAAGTTTTCTTTTTGTCTGATATGCAAATGTTTTTCTTTCTACAAAACCAAAGTTTCCTAGAGCTAAAGGGTCATTAACTGCTAAATAGCAGACGGTCTGTAAATCAAATGGAAACAAAATCAGTTTCATTCATAAAGATTGTATCTTGAAGTGGATTTCAGGGGCTCCATTTATGTGAAACCGCTTTACAGCTCAAAGCAACAATCTGCACTCATGTAAAGTGTCTTGCAAGTCAGAAGGATGACTCAAAGTGCTTCACACAACTGACTGTCATCAAAGCAGGTGTAGTTTTTAGTACGTGTGATTTTGTGAATCTTTCTTAAAATCCAGAAAATAAACATCACTGTAATAGCTGCATGCTGTCATTTGTGGCTTGAGATTAAAAGAAATGGCAACTTTATGTAACACACCAGCAAATCTTCAAACATTAGTATCGCAGCAGTACAACCACCAACAACAATTTACATTTCTATAATGTCTTTCACGTAGAATAATGTTGGTGGGCTTTACAGTGGCAGGACAAACAAAGAGGTAGATCTTAAGGCAGGCTTTAAAAAGCACAACCACCATTCAGACCACAAAATTCCACTTTGGTGAATTCTGGGCTCACCCAGTTAAGGAATGTTAATAATGGGAACCTTTCCCATTTCAGACACCCACTGTCAGCATCAGAGTCGTGGCTGGGGAGAATTTGAGCGAGACAGTCACATTAAAGGATAGTGTTGTGCTGTGAGCCCACAGTCATCAGGAACTGCTTTAAAACTGCCCAAACCCATTTCTCATGTGATCCGTATAACCAACAGACCAAAGAGGGAGACATTTAAATAGTTTCCCCTGGCTCATTAGGTTCACTCTTGAACTGAACACCATTCACAAAGCAATAGGTTGAGTAAACACATAGACATACCCATTCTTCAGATGTTTATTGCATAAAGGTGACATTATCTTCCTCCTTTTTATGGAGGGAGAGAGATGGAGGATGGGATGGGAATTGTCTCCACGCAGCACCTTATGACCTCAACACCATGAGCAGCCACGAGGAAAGAATTTACACCCTCACAGGAAATAATTGGCATTCTGCACTGCTGCACAAATATGCTTTCCTGCCTTTTTAAAGCACTTTATTTTTTCTCCAAACTGTTCTCTCTTGACATGAGTCAACTTTGCTTCAAAACAAAAGCAGCGAGCTAGCTGCATCAAAGGAAGCGAAGCCTCTTATTAAGAGGCAGACAGGACAGAATTAGTTACGAATTTTCGACTTAGCACGTCACTTTCAACAGCTTGCGTAGTTTGGAATGATCCTACAAAGCACGCTGGGGCGTTATTCGCAAGACTCGCTAGGATCCGAGGTGGCTGATGCTGATGAGCAGAATGGATTTTGTCATTCACAGTTTTTCTACATCACG